AGCCATAGAAAACCTTATGAATATCAGCAGAACATTATCAGATATAGTGCCAGAAGACGAAAACAATATGAATGTTGCTGTTATTGTTAAGTGTCAACAAGTTAGCTTGACTCATAGTGACTCTACATAAAGTTTCCAAGGAGCAGCTAGAGGTTTGGACTGTCAACCTTGTGATTCAAACTGACCTTGTGATCCAATGCTTATTATACAGCACCACATCAAAATATTATAAATGGGAGTCCTGGTGTGACACTGCAGGATAATGCACTGGACTGCAAGATTGGGTTGAGCCCAAGGTCAGTGGTTCAAAATCATGAGGTGCTCCTCAGAAACACTTTACAGGGTTGCTATGAGTCAAAACCAACTTGACTTTGCGATTCAAACCTATCTTGTGATTCAAAATGAACTTGTGATCCAGTGCTTATCCTACAGCACTACACCAAAACACTATGAATAGCACCAGAATATTGTTAGATATGGTGCCAGAAAATGAACACCTCAGGTTGGAAGGCACTCAAAATACAATCAGGGAAGTGTTGCCTCTCCAAAGTCGAAATGACCATGAGGATGCAAATGGAGTAAACCTTTCAGGATCTTCCTTTGATGACAAAGAACAGCTGTAAACATTCATTAATAGTCTTAACATAGAATGTATGAAGCATGAAAGTAGGAAAACTGGAAGTTGTCATAAATGAAATGGAAAGCATAAGGATCAATATCCAGGCATTAGTGAGCTGAAGTAGACTGGCATTGGCCATTTTGAATCTGACAATCATACGATTTACTAAGCCTTTCAGTCGGTGCCCTTATATAGGTTCTCTCAGACTGTAAATCTTTACAGGACCACTCAGCCTTGTCCTTCTCCCACAGAACGGGTGGTGGGTCTAAACCAATGACAGTGATTTGCAGCCCAATGCCTAACCCACAGCACCACCAGGACTTCTTTTACTTGTAAGGTAGTACATCTAAAATACTGAGCAGAGGTTCTGCACATGAAAATTACTCTGTACCTTTTTGTTTTGTGCTTACCAGGGAGTCCAAGTCTTTGTTGAGGTCTTGCTATTGGCTGTCATTGGTAGCTCAACTGTGCTGTTTCTACTATAGACACCATCACTATTTCTCTCTTTGAAGTAACAGAAATACTATGGATTGCTGCTGTTGCTGTTAAATGCTGTCAAGTTGGTTCTGACTCATAGTGACCCTGTGTGGTTTCTGATAAGTGGCAGGTGAGCTTGAACTGCCAACCTTGCAGTTCAAACTGACTTTGCAGTCCAGTGCATTAGCCAGCAGTGCCACACCAGGACTCCATACTATGGATTATTAGTGCTTAAACTTAAACTATTGATTTAAGAGTATATTTTTCAGTGATGTCCAATATCAAGGTCAAAGGACTAAAAATAAATATATGTGATGATCTTTTGTATTGCTCTGTTTTCAAACACTTTATTGCTGTGTTTTAAAAATTCCTTTGAAAGTTAGAAGAAGTCAAAAATTAATATCTGTGACGGGTAAACTAAGAGAGACCAGGAGAAATGTGGGGAATGCACAAAAAATAGAAACAGATCACAAGCCAAATAAATCACTTCAAAAAAGGCGCTTCTAAAAAGATTTTACCAGAAGGGCTGCCTTTGGACCCGCCTTTGAGATCAGGGTCCTTACAGCATCAGAGGTGCATATAATAAGAGCTGAGAAGCAGCAGAAAGGCTATTAACTTTTTGCTCAGGCGCCTGAACCCTGCCAGGACCGGTGATGCTACAGACTCTTCGTGGCAGGAGAAACTCTCAGGGTTGAGCCTCACCTGAGCCTAGGGTTTGCACGCGCCTACTCTCTCAGGCTCCTCTTAGCTGAAGAAATGAGTGATGGATTGGCTCCAAGTAAAAGTACAGTGTACGTATCCCACCTGAGTGTTACCCTGACAAGCAATGGTTTATATTGGATATTTTCCAAGCATGGCAAAGTTGTAAAAGTTACTATAATGAAAGATAAAGACCAGGATGAGTAAAGAGGTTGCATTTATTCCATTTTTGAATGAAGAATCTGCACAAAATTGTACCAGAGCAATAAACAACAAACAGTTATTTAGTAGAATGATAAAAGCAGTTTAGTGAGGAAATAGCCACCGAGACACTGATGACAAAGAAATGAATACACAGCAAGCTGTGAAAAGGCACTGACAGGAACGTGTTTAGAGAGCAAAACATTAAATTATTAACACATATGTACTGTGTGTCTATAAAGTAAGGCAGTGAAAAATTGGGGAGACACTGGAGAACAAAAGTATTCTGGTATTGTGCTGTAGCATAAGAACTGAACTGCTAACTATAAGGTCGGTGGTTACCAGCCTTTCCTCAGAAATCGTATACAAGAGTGCTGTGAGTCAGACTAGACTTGATGGCTCCAAACATCAACAATACTGAGGATAAAACGCACACAGACCTCGCCTGGGGAGCTTAAATTCTAGTGAAAGAGACAGACAATAAATAACAAGTTTAATATTAGAAAGTAAATTATAACATGTTGTTGTTATTGTTGTTAAGTGCCGTCGAGTCGGTTCCAACCCATAGCAACCTTGTATAGGGTTTTCGAGGAGTGATTGGTGAGCTTGAACCGCTGACCTTGAAGTTCAAATGGCTTTGCAGTCTGGCGCATTAACCCACAGCGCCACACCATAACATGTTGGTGGTGGCTGTGTGCTGTGGAGTCAGTTCCGACTCGTAGCGACCCTGTATAGGGTTTTCGAGGCTATAAATCTTTACAGGAGCAGAACAGCTCATCTTTCTCCCGCGGGACAGCTGGTAGTTTTGAACTCCTGACCTTGCAGTTCGCAGCCCGATTGGTAACCACTACGCTATCAGAGTTGGGAGATAACAAATTGGAGAATTCAAAGCATGAAGATGGCAGTATCAAGTAGGGTAGATCTCACTAAGAAGATAAGTTTTGAGGAAAAGCATGAAGACGATAGGAGTTACTCAAAGACAGTCGTGATCTGATTATGTTTGAAAAAGGCTCTTTCTGTTTTCTGGGTTGAGAATAATCTGTGAAAACTAGTGAAGGGACAGGAACATCTTTCAAAAGGCCACTGCAGTGACAGATGATGGGGCTCAGACCATGGTGGCAGGGTTCTGGGTACCTGCTCTGAAGGAAAAAGATAAGGCTGTCTGCACCTATAAAGATTGAAAGTCCTGGAAACCCTAAGGAGCAGTTCTACTGTGTCCTATAGTGTTGCTATGAATAGGAATCAACTCATGGCAGTGTTTACGATTGTGAACTTCCAGACTAAGACAGACTAGGTAGAAAGGCTTGGTGGTTAGATCTTGTTTTGCATGGGGTAACCATGAGGTACGAACAGACTCAATGGCAGCTAACAACCACAACAAGGCGAAGCATATGACCCTTGGAATAGGTGGCTGAGCTGAATGTAAGAAAATACTATTGGAACTTAGGAGCTGAGAAGCTGTATTGTTGTTATTGATAAGTGCCCTCAAGTGGATCCCGACTCACAACAACCTTGTATAGGGTTTCCGAGGAGCATCTGGCAGGTTTGAACTGCTGACCTTGTGGTTCTCAGTCCAGTGTGGATCCTACAGTGCCACACCAGGAGTTGTGTAGATATTGAAGTCACCATGAATTACGATCAAGAATTGAGCCAATTTTATTACCAGCTCCTATTTGTACTGTTGTTGTTCTTGTTAAGTGTCGTTGAGTCGGTAATGACTGATAGTGACCCTGTATAGGGTTTCCAAGGAGTAGCTGGTGAGCTTGAACCGCCAACCTTGTGGTTCAAAGCGACTTTGTGATCCAGCACATTAACCCACAGCACCACTGCAAATTAACATAACTCCTTCCACTTTCCAGCAGACTGCTTACTACAGTTTGTCATATTTGACAGTAATCCGGGTTCGCCATCTACCTTGCTCACCACTATGTATCTTGTAACTGGTATAAATCAAAACCAAGCCAACTGCCCTAGGTGACTGAACTCATGGGGGCAACTTGTGTGTCAAAGTGATTTTTGGAAGTAGATAGTCAGATTTTTTTTTCCCCATTACTAGCATATTGATTGAGCTCTAATGTGGAGGTAGAGAATAAGCACTAGATTGCTATCCGCAAAGCTGGTAGCTCAAACCCACTAGCCGTTTTCTAAAATCCTACACAGGGTCCCTATGAGCTGGAACCAACTGGATGGCATTCAACAGCAGCATACTGATGGACATATAATTGAAGATCAAAAATGAGTATTGTTCTAGCTGTAATAACTGATGGTTGTTGTTGTTGTTATGTGCCATGGAGTCGATTTCGACTCATAGCGACCCTGCGCAGGGTTTCCGAGGCCGTAAATCTTAACGGGAGCAGAAATCCTCATCTTTCTCCCGCAGAACAGCTGGTAGTTTCGAACTGCTGACCTTGTGGTTCGCAGTCCGATTCGTAACCACTACGCTACCAAAGCTCCTTAATAACTGATGGTAGTGGTGGTTATGTGCCATGGAGTCGGTTCTGACTCACAGTGGTCCTGTGTAAGATTTCCAAGGCTGTTAAATCTTTACGTAGCCGACTCCTAACCACTATGCTACCAGAGCTCCCAATTAACTTTACAAGGGGAATCAAGATCATTTTCGTTTGAATGAAAAAGCAAGAATACATGAGGGTGGGTTTTCCATATGCTACAAGTCCTGCTGATTCTATGGCGCCTAGAGGAATGCCTGACAAATTAGGTACTCAATAACTGTTTGAATGAATGAGTGAATTAATGAGCAAAGAACCAACTAGCCACACCACTCTTCTACGGATAAATTTGAGTATAGGACCACGCCTATCAGCTCCTTCAGCCTGGTGAGCACTGGATCTCTGCGCCTGTGTGAGATCAATTTGCTTTTATCACAGCGTTTGCATTAGTTGGATTGAGCCCTCCGCGCTGCCGTAATCCATTCGGTTGTTTCGCGTTCTGCTTCCGTTTCCGGGTTTCTACGCTTACTCGGCCGGAGGGGAAGAGGTTCGTCTACCTCCACGTCTGGCACTCGTCTTAGGAGATGGCAGCTCAAAAAATAAACGAAGGCCTGGAACACATTGCCAAAGCAGAGAAATAGTGAGTAAGAAACCACGGACAGCCATTGAGCCAGTGTGGGAGGAAGCAGAGATGTGGGTGGGGCTGTGCCGCCCTGGCTGCCCCGGGAGGCTGCAGTAGACACCGGCGTCCTCCAGGGTATGGGATCCCTTGAAGGGAGGTGAGGGCCCGGGGTTCCTTGGGCAGCGTCATCCGCCAGCCCCGCCGAAGCCGGCCACTTTCCTGAGCTTGTGTCTCAGTGAAGGAGGTACACGTTGCAGTCTCTACCCATCCTTTACTCCCGCTTCTTTTCCCCAGTTTGTCAACCTCTGCACAGTTGTGCTGGAAATTCAGCAGCATCCTGGGCCTTTACGTACTAGACACCAGTAGCACCCTCCTTCCCACTTCCGATAACCATTACCCTCGCGAGACAAAATCGTTCTGCTCTGAAAGACCTTGAGTGTTGGGGGAATAGGCTAGTGTTTACTCAGAAAATGCTTAGATGAAGCTGTGTCATTTCCCATCATAGTGGTCCTAGGGCAAGAATTAATGCTTTCTCAGCATCTCTTCTGTCGGCTTCTGATACAGTAGAAGACACCCAATAAATATTTGTGGAACCGAACTGATTCTCTTTCATTTATTCCCTTTGACACGCCCCTGTCCTCAGTAAACGTATGAATTCATTATTCTAACGAACTGTTCTCTAGCAAATAAGGAACATGGAGAAGCTACTTACTCTACGCTAGGTGCTCGATATATACATTAATTGAGATCGTAACAGTTTTCCAGCTAGATATCCTTATTTTACAGAAGAGAACGCAGTCGTAGAGGTAGTTTTCAGACAGTGAAAAAATTAGTACACTTTTCTTTGTACCCCACTATTCCAGGTGGAGTCCTATGGGGCGCTGTAGGATAAGCACTGGACTGCTAATCATAAGATCAGTGTTTCAAGCCCACCAGCTGCTCCTTGGAAACACTTTATAGCAGGGGTGGGGAACCTCTGGATTGCAGGCCTTTAAAGGCCAATGAAATCATTTGATTTGGCCTTGCAAGGCAAACTGCCGCTTAGCCATCGCTGTTGTTCTTATTGTTGTTAAGTACTGCCCTGTTGGTTCCTACCATGTAAAGGGTTTCCAGGGAGATGCTAATGAATTTGAATCACGGACCTTGCAGTCAAGTGTTTATCCTACAATACTACACCAGCCATCATTTTTTGTTGTTGTTAAGTGCCATTCCAGTCGGGTCCGACTCATAGCGACCCATATAGGGTTTCGGAAGAGCAGCTGGTGGATTTGAACTGCTGACCTTGTAGTTTGCAGTCCAGTGCTGATCTACAGCACCACACCAGATGTCCTTTGGGGTGAGTTAAGTAAATGTTTGATCACATATAACAGGCTAGTTTTTAAGTTGATGCATAATTTTGTATGATCCACAAATAATGTTATAAATTTTGACAGAAAAAGGTTCTGCACCTTAGCTGTACAGGGTCATTATGACTTGAACCCAATAGACAGCACTTAACAACAGTGACTACCAGGTAGTGTGTAAGAGGTGGGTCTCTTGGTGCAGGAGGTGCCCAGACAAACTGACTTTATAGTGACAGCCAACACAAAAATCGAATAGTGTTTGCTATAAGAATCATAACAGAAATACATTAAATGTGCTTTGGTAACAGAGGGGAGGAGTTTATTATGCCTGGGGAAATTTAGGAAGGTCTTATAGGTGATTTCTGAGCAAGGCCTGAAAAGTAAGAAAATCCTGTGAGAGTCTGTTGTATTCACAGGGTGCAGTACTTTCAGTCCTGAAGAAGACTTTAGCCTTAATTGTAATTAAAATTTTTGCAAACCTACTTGCTTCCATGTAGTCAATTCTGACTCCAGAGTGAACACAGAGTAGAACTGCTTCATAAAGTTTCTGAGTCACCATATACATGTCTTTATAAGAGCAGACAGCCTCATCTGTCTCTCAAGAATCAGGTTGTGGGTTTGAACTGCCAACTTTGTGGTAAGCAGACCAATATTTAACAGTTTTCTTACAGGGAATTTTCTGGCTACATTATGTGCAAATGTGAATTCTGCACATTTGAAATAAGTAACAAAGTCTTATTATAAAGCTTAATTTTACTAATGAAAAATTTGAAATAATATGTATCCTCCAAATGAAAAATGCACTGGAGCAGAGAAGACTTGGTAACAGACGTGAAGGAGCTGCTGCTTCTTAACAAAAACAATGACCTTGTTAATATTTTATTAATAAATAATTTATTGAATAATTCATTTTCTAGACATTTAATAGTCAGTGGATGTGGTTAGATTGTTTTTTGCAAAATAAATGTGGAAACAGAAATAACTGGAGGGGCTTGAGAACTTTGGCATATTGAATATGCAATATTTTTTGACTTTACAAAGTTGTTTTGTAAAGTCTGATTTAAAAAGTTGTTGCTACGTACAAGCCACAGGGGATACAGGGTGATCTGAAAGTGGTCCCTCACTCACAGTTTAAAATTTATAGGAGTCCTGGTATGGCGCTGTGGGTTAATGAGCCAGACTGTAAAACCGTTTGAACAGCAAGGTCGGCGGTTCAAGCTCATCAGCTGCTCTTCAGAAACCCTATACAGGATCACTATGGGTCGGAACCGATTTGATGGCACTTAACAACAATAATAAGACAAGTAAACAGATGAGTAAAAACAAGATATTAAATACTAAAATAGACATATGTAGTAAGTACAGTGAAGATACAAAGAAAGGAAAATTTAATTTCCTATCGTGGAAGGAGTGGAAGAGGAGAGTAGGGCAGGAAAGGCTGCTCCCATGAAGGAGAAGGTGAAGAGAGCCTGAAATAAAGTAAAGGTAAAGGAGGCAGGATTATGTTGTTAAATACTGTTGAGTCGGTTCTGACTCAACAGCCACCCTGTATAGGGTTTCTAGACTCCTGGTGTGGAGCAGTAGGATCAGCACTGGACTGTGCTGATCAAACCTACCAACTGCTCCTCAGAAATCTATACATGGTCACTATGAGTCAGAACTAACTTGATGGCACATAACAACAACATAGAATTTCTAAAAAACAAACAAAAAACAGTCACCATAACCTTCATAAATCTGCCTTGCATTTAACTGGCACAGCTGCTCCCCTCAGAAAACAACTGTTACAATTGGACCTTTTTTGAAGGCACACTGTTGAGACTAAGACAGGCGTATTCCTGAGAACTTGTCTGTAGCCATCCAGTGATTCCAGGCACAGGTTTAAACTCATTTTGTTTGGAATAAATCTGTGCATGTATAAACTGGAATCCTAGTAGCAATACTTTCTGACTTACTCTCATACTTACAATTGAATGATTATATTTCATTATTGGTGGGATTTTTAAAAATTATGTTAATATACAGAATGTAATGACACCTGTGGAGTTGTGGTATTGCGTTTTTGTTGTTAAGTGCTGTCAAATTGATCTGATTCATTGCAACCCTGTGTAGGGTTTCCAAGGAGTGATGAATGGTGTGCTTGAATTGCTAACCTTGTGGCTGGCAGTCCATTGTGTATCTTACACTCTACCCCAGGACCTGATAATGGGTTAGAAGACTTGCATATTCCTTCAATTTTTTGGATTATAATAGACATAAAGTGCAACTTGAGGATTTTTGGTAAGCTTTTTAAAATAGCTTACAGATTTGAATCTTTGTTACACAAAGAAGAAATACTTCCCCCAGCTCCTAATTCCTTTGAAGTTAAGTGTCCTGTAAGTAAGCACACTTCTGTCCATTGAATTACAATTTAGAATTTAAGATATTAATTTAGTAATTCTTATGCATGTTCAACTGTGAAAGTCAATGAGCTAGATTAAACTGTAAATTTGTAATTATTTTAGAATTAAAAATAAATAAATATTGTAGAAAAGTCATAGCAATCCAGCATCCAGCAGGCCATTATTGAGCCTAGAAAGCAGCTTCTTTTGTCTTTGATAACATCTTTTCTCTTTCTTGGTTATCCTTCCTTCTCATAGATGGGTGAGTCTCAGCCTTGTAAGCTAACTCCTTTTGTTGTTCCTCTGAATGTTTGCATTCCTTCGTTTTTCTGTCCTCTCTGTAATCTTCCTATGTAATTTTGCCTGTGCTCATGATATGGCATGTTCTGATGGCTCCCCAATTTATATCTAGCCCATCTTCTCTGAACTCCAGATCTCTGAGTGGTGCAAATGGTTAATAAACTTAGCTGCTAACAGAAACATTGAAAGTTTGAGTCCACCCAAAGGCACCTGGGAAAAAAGGCCTGGCAATCTATTCCGCAAAAAACGCAGCCATTGACAATCCTGTGGAGCAAGTTCTGCTCTAACACACACAGGGTCACATGAGGCAGAATTGATTCTACTGGTTCTCTGAGTTCTAGGAATCCAGTGGTTGGCCTGATAATCTCAAACTTTAATGTGCATACACCCCAACCTATTGCTACTGAGTCGATTCTGACTCATAGTGACCAATATGGGGTTTCTGGAAGAGCTTTGATGTCATTGAAGTTGTTGTGTTAAGTGTCATCGAGTCGGTTCCGACCCATAGTGACCCTGTATAGGGTTTCCGAAGTGCGGCTGGTGAGCTTGAACCGCTGATCGTATGTTCAAGCTGAATTTGCAGTCCAGCACATTAGCCCACAACGCCAGGCCAGGACTCTTTTGGTATCATGTTGTTATTGTTGTTGTTGTGTGCTGTTGAGTGGGTTCCGATTCATAGCAACCCTATATAGGGTTTCCAAGCAGTGGCTGGTGAGATTGAACCGCTGGCCTTGCAGTTCTAATTGACTTTGCAGTTCAGCACATTAACCCGCAGCGCCATGCAAACCGCAAGGTCAGCAGTTCAATTGTATCATCTTGCTCCATGTGAGAAAGATGAGGCTGTCTGCTCCTGTAAAGATTAAAGATTTACAGCCTCGGAAACCCTATACAGTCAGAACGACTCTGAGGCACATCACCACCACCACCACCACCACCATATGAGGTTTCCGATACTTAAATCTTGATGGGAGCAAACAGCCTCAACTTTCTTCCACAATGTGGCTAATAGGTTTGAACTGCTGACCTTGCAGTTAGTAGTCCAGTACTAATTCTACAGTGATACCAGAACTCCTTTTAATGTGCATAGATGCTTGTTAAACCACTCTTAGCCTCTCTCCGCCACAGAGTTTCTGAGTCAGTAGGTCAGGGGTGAGGCTCAATAATTTGCATTTCTAATAAGTGCCCATGGATTGCTGATACTAGTCCAGGTACCACACATCCAGAGCCTCTGCTCTATGTTGACGTTATGCTAACATTTTTAAGGGAGCTCTGGTAGCGTAGTGGTTACGAATTGGACTGCGAACCACAAGGTCAGCAGTTTGAAACTACCAGCTGTTCTGCGGGAGAAAGATGAGGCTTTCTGCTCCGGTAAAGATTTACGGCCTTGGAAACCCTGTACAGGGTCACTGTGAGTCGAAACCGACTCCACGGCACATAACAACAACAACAACCACTTCCATGGTAGTGGGAGGACAAGTGCTGAAGGTATATTTTGTTTTAAGTTTGGATGAAGGTGGGCTAGAGTTTGTTGCTGATGATTTATTTTTTAAATGCCATTGTAAGTAGGGGTCTGACAAAAATATAGTTGGCGACTTATATGTGAATCATGTTTTTCATTTTAGCTTGAAAACTGGTTTTTTAAAATGGAAGCCAGATTACGACAGTGCTGCTTCTGAATATGGAAAAGCAGGTATGTGTGACTATATCTCTGTCATCCCAACTTTAAAACATCTAATAACTTTATCTTAGCATAATACTTATTCTTAATGCTTTCTGTCAGGTTTTAATAGCTTTTTAAAAAATGCGTTAAGCCCTTAAGTTTTTTTTCCCCACTTGTTTCCAGGTGTGTTGAGAGCTGAGTTGGTGATCCTTCTACCTCTATTTCATGACAGCAGAGATGGGGATGGGGTTGATGGTACACAGATGCAGGTCTTTAACATTATTTTATATTCTTTTTTTTTTTTGTATGCTTTTTTTAACTTTAGGGCCATTATTTTTTGCAGGTTTCCTCAATGAGAAAAACATAAGACATTTATTTTATATGCATCTTACACCATCAGTTGCTTTTCAAATGAAACATTCAAGTCCAGATAGTTTCTTTAAAGCAACCTCTGTGTATTTTCCTTAAGTGGCTATAGAAAAGAAATCAGTTCAAAATTAAAAAAAAATCAAAACAAGGAAGTCCAGGGATGAGAACTGTTTTAGTATTTTGTTTTCTACGTTTTATTAAAGTGAATTTCATGAGTGTGTGTGTGTTTTTTAGCGTTTTCCTAAGGCACTGTTTCTGCTGTGTCCTATGTATAAGTTGTTGTTAGGTGCTACCTTGTTGATTCTCACTCATAGTCACCTTGTGCATAACAGAAGGCAACGCTGCCTGGTTCTGTACATCATCACGATTGGCTGTCATGTTTTAGCACACTGCTGCTGCTGTTGCTGCCACTGTGTCAGTCCACCTCATTGGTGGGGAGGGGGTTTCCACTTTTTTGCACATCCTCCACTTCTTTAAGCATGATGTCTTCTCTAGAGACTGGTTTCTTCTGATAACATATTTGATGTATGAAAGACAAAGTCTTGCCATCCTGGCTTCTAAGGAGCTTTCTGGTTGTGCTTCTTTAACATAGAGTTGTTTGTTCTTCTGGAAGTCCGTGGTACTTTTAATATTCTTCTCCAACACCATAATTCAAATCCATCAATTCTTCTGTGGTCTTCCTGATTCATTGTCCAGCTTTCAAAACTAGCAGTATATGTTATTTAAAATAACAGTGAAATCTTTTTCACAGCCACGTAAACAGTATATAGCTTTTATTGTGTTTTTTTTTTTTTTTTAACGTACTATTAGTACATGTATTTAAAGATTGTACCAACCAGGAGGGTTTATTATAAACTTATAGTATTTCTTGGTTTTCAGTTTCTGAATAACTCAAAAGATGAACTAGGTATAACTTTTGAAAGCACTGTGTTTACCTGCAAGCCTGGTGATGTAAGTGACTCTCTTATGGCAGAATGAACCCCTCTTTAATTTGGGAGCATTGGTGTGATTGATGCTGTCTTAGTTTCTCATAGCTTTTAGACACTGGTGTTGGAAATACTTCTTGATTTTGAATGGAAATAACACTGACCTGTTGCTAAGAGTCAAAAATTAAAAAAAAAAAAAAAAACTTGAAAATACTTCTAAATTAATTGAAAATAAAAAAAATTGTAAGCGGGAATTCTTACAACATGAATCATTCCCACGCCCTCCACACACAGAATAGACAGGGATGGGCAACTTGGACATTGGCTACCCAAAATGGGGAGGGAGGGCTACAAAGGCAAGAAGTGACAAGCTTTCAAGAAGGAACCTAGAGCCAGGGGACCTCGAGGAAGGCAGAATCTCCAGTAAGTAGTATCCAGTCTGCCTAGGCGGAGCTGATGAAATGAAATGCAGATGGGTCTCTTGTGATACAATAGTGAATAATTGTTATCAAGACTGATTGTGAGGGTTGGAAGTATAAAGGTAGACATTTTATAGCAAGGAGGTGAGGGAATAACTTTTCAGTCTAGGAGTGGAGGTCCCTAGGACCATCAACGGGAAGAACCGAGAGCGGGAACCTACCCAGAGAAGCAGTGAGGCCCGAGATGGAGGCAGAGACAATGACGTGGAGCGATGGAGCAGTTGGGGACTTTAGACCCAGAGAGGGAGAGCGACTGTGTGCTGAAGACTGGGGGAGTGGGAGTGGGGGTGAGATAATATAGGGGGCAGGCTTTGGTCGGTTGATGATGCATGGAGGGGATTGTAACAATGGCAATGATATGATGTACGATAGAATGAATGTAAAACTAATGTTCTCCCATGTAAACGATCATATAATTCACAATAAAATACTTTAAAAAAATTGTAAGAATATTGCTTTAGATAAGAAGTAATAATCTGTAGTTTTGTGTAGGAGCCTTGGTGGTGCTATAGGATGAGCATTGAACTGTTAACCAAAAAGTCAACAGTTCAAACCCACCAGCTATTCCAAGGGAGTAAGATGAGGCTGTCTGCTTCCTTAAGGATTTACAGTCTCAGAAGTCCTATATCGTTTCCCCTGGATCAGAATTTATTCAATTGCAGTAGGTTTGAATTTGGATTGTTTTATAACACTTCCCAAGTGTTTAGTTGAAATCAATATGCTTTCTAATACTTCACTCATGATGCAGAGTTAATGATTTGTTTGATGTGTTTAATAATGGAAATAGAAAGTCTTTTTTTTTTTCTGTTCTGTTTCAGCTGTTGCTTTTAAAAACGCCAAGCAGTTTGAGCAAGCAAAAGATGCCTGCCTGAGAGAAGCTGTTGCACATGAGAATAACAGGGCGTATCTTTTTCAGCCTTTAAGAAGAAGTTAAATAATTAGATGATTTGATAAATTAGTGGTGTTTTGTTTTGTTTTAATTAAAAGTTTGCTGTTTGTAAAGTGTGTTGTTGTTGTTGTTGTTGTTAAGTGCCGTCGAGTCAGTTCCGACCCATAGCGACCCTGTACAGGGTTTCCGAGGGTGTAAATCTTTACGGGAG